CCTATATATGTAGTATCAAAGCAATTGGACTTGCGGTTTTTAACAAGAAGTCGAAAATATCAGTTTTTACCAAAAATGACAAAAATATTCACCAAAATTAAAGAATTAAAGATATCATTACAAAATTAACAAATTTGAGAGAGGTCCACATGTAGTACCTATAAATGTAATATCAAAGCAATTGCACTTGCGGTTTTTAACAAGAAGTCGAAAATATCAGTTTTTACCAAAAATGACAAAAATATTCACCAAAATTAGAGAATTAAAGATATCAACATGAAATGAACAAACCTAAGAGAGGTCTACCCAAGGTACATATACACCAAGTATCAAAGCATTTAGGCTTGTAGTTTTCAAGAAGAAGTCGAAAAAGTAAAACATTGACACGGACGACGACGACGGACGACGACGACGACGACGACGGACAATCACTCATATGATAAGCTCCGCTCGACAAAGTCGACAGCGGAGCTAAAAATATATAACATGTAGGTAGTGAAATTTCATTTTCACTGTGAAGTATAGGTTTGAATATAAGCGGCCACGAACCTGGGTCTCATGCTTAAATGGCAGTAAAACACTTCCATCCAGGTTGGGGTGGAGTGTGGGTACGGGTACAGGTGGTATGTGGGGTGTCAGCTAGGATTAGCACTAAGTCTACATTATATGTAAATCATTTGGAAACATTAGAATATTTGTATTTATAACTTAAAGCAAATCTCAAAATGTCATGTATGGAGTGTGTTTTTTTTTGCTCAAAGTGGACAATCATAAAAATTGTCATAAAAATAAACCAAGATAGATTCCAAGGATAACAAAACACTTAAAGTTAGAATGTCTCTTTTGAAATTTGACGGAGTACATAAAACTATTGACATCAATGAGGTACCAGGATCGATTCACAACTACGTATAAAGGACGATCATCCAGTAAATGTTTTTGTGCATACAGTTACGAGGTGGTCAAGTAAATGTTTTGTTAAAGACGAACGTTTGCATCAAATTTATTAAATTCCAAGCATGCTTAGAGAACAATAGAAATGGACATCATATTGTTCATAGGACAACAGTGATGTCTGATATTTGCAAGGGAATCTGTCAGAAAATCTGCACAGAAAAACAACCAAATAAAAAGTCTAGCTCTAGTAAAAGGGAAAACAAAAATCTGCAGTTTTTCCAACATTTCCCTTTTTGAAACATCTAATGATCAATCTCTAAGATGGATTTTATTATTAGTCAGAATGCTCATAACTACGAATAATAGTTTCATTAACTTCATTTAGCAACACATTCTATCCTACTTTTATACTTGGATTGTTTCTTTGTGATTAACACCTCAGTGACAGTAGAATACCTAGAGTAAGCCAATAAATCCAAGCCTTTACTTAAACAACAGCAAGACAATAGGAAAGAGGTCAACCTCTATCGCAACATGTACCCCATTTGATTCATCAAGAGATATACTTTTTCTTTGCTTGATTCAATGATGTTATCTCCCTTGCAAACATCTACCATCCTCTAGCACATCATAGGGTGGTAAACACAATAAGGTACTGAAGCTCAATCTTGTTAACATCATCATCCTGTTTAGAAAGCTATTTTGGAAACACCCATTTTGTAAATGGTTCATACAGAGAAAATAAATATTTCAAAAGGAGAAATAAATATTTAAAAACAAAGAAAATACTAAATTGTTCATGATGGGAGGGGGTGTAAATTATTAACTAAATTTCTGACTGTGGTAACTCATTATCATATAACATTGACTATATTAATCATTATAAAAAGTAACATAAATCCTTCATCATCATGATAACTATCATTAATAGATTGAACCAATAAATGATTAACTTGTGAAACCTTTCAGGGTCTAGTAGCAATTAGTCCTTCACCCCCTGCACAACATAGACTTTGATACAACATATCAGTAAACCAGCCCACTTCAACAATTACATCACTTTTTTTGAAACAATTTGAAATGACAAACAAAAAGAGTACTCAAAACTTACACTGCCTGGGAAAGTCCCAAATCTGTATTTGAAAAAAACATTGAGTGATGGCACAGCTCGTACTGAAGACCAGTTATTCATTATTTTTCAACCAGAAATGTAAGGGCATTTAACAAAAGTCTCTGTAAGTTTCTGCATAAAATATATAGCAGTGATCATAGTAGCAACAACTGTAATAACAACAACATGGAAATGAGTCACAGCAATCCAATGTACTTGAGTGAAGTGAGACCAGACTCTGCACCAATAGCTCCCTTAGTTAAGGTCAATGACCTCATGGTGTACGTCAAACAATTGATGAGATATAACAATTACATGTTATACAACAGTTATAGGGTATATTATGATATTAAACAGCCATCAAAGTTAGGCGCCTATTGTGTCAGAGTTGAATCTACACAACTTTTGACCTCAGATCTAAATCTAACAAACACATGATATAAATAAAGTTTTAATATATGGTCAAAATTCAGTTTGGCACTGGTAACTCTTAAAACCAAACACACACTTTGCATGCTGGGAAAATGTTTGTACTTTTATGTTCATGCTTACAATTTGTAAAAATGGCCACTCATTCAACAATATGAAAAGAAAATTAAAGTGCCTATGTCTTGTCTTTGTATCAAATTGAAACAAAATACGTCGAGGTATGTTCGAAAAATAGTTAAGGACACACACAATAAATTCATGGTCACAAGCTTGCCATTTTTAATTAAATTAAAAAAAAACTGCATCAGAAACGGTCACATGCGATGTTTAACACAATTATGAATGGGGGGTGATAAAATGTAATTAAAAAAAATCAACATGCTCATGTAGACCAATATTACTTCTCTGTACTAAATTTGAACAAAAAAAAGTTTTGGAATGGTCACAAAAACTAACAATCCTTGTTTCAGACTACATTTGACAAGGACTAATAAATATAAACCCTACCTTTGTAGCGTAAGTGTGAGGGTTTTGAAGGCACTATGGATTAACTGTAACGCTTCCGACTGTGAAGCACACTGGACATCGTTGATTTCTAAAATGACATCACCCACTTGTAGTGAACCTTGGTCGTCTGCTTTCCCACCAGGATCAATCTGAATAAGAACAAAAACAAACATATACATTAATTTAATAATACAATGTTATACGCTAAATGTTGTAAGTTAATTAATCTGTATCTTCTAATCAACACAAAATTACTGAACAGTTACATTTATGTAACCTAGAAATGTAACTAAATATTCAAATCTTATGTGCAAACTCAACAATACAATAATGAACTCGCATGGTAACAGAGCAACACTAATGTCTGATGACAGTGGCTGCATTTCAAGTAGCTCGGTTAGGGGAGGACAAGTTTCGTCAATTTATGAGAATCTAGGTTGAAGTCAGGAGCGATTCTGAAGCCGCTGATGTCAACTTGTACACGGTTTCCAGGCACCTTGGAATACGTCACCTTATAAAGACAGTTACGTGAATTTATTATAACAAAGTAGCAAGATCAAGAGCCCTGCAAAACTTAGGATCTTCAGGTTGCCGTGCAACTGGACGTGTATTACTTACTATGTGGCAACTGAAAAATGGCAGGATCACAAACTGTACTTAATAGTTGAAAATTAGGTCTGGTTTGATGGATGTTGCTTAAATTCCACTGTACCCATAATAATAATGCGTGCATTCAAAACTCAATATTTGTGACTGAGGTGATAAGCAGAAGATTTTATAGCCTGGGTGCATGGGTAGGAGGAGTCTGTGGTAACTAGAGTTAAAAAAAGGAATTTATTGAAAAATATTGTTTTTTCTATGAGTAGAAGAGTTTTTAATTGCTCAATACAATGAAGGGGAATTCAATGATAAATGCAGTTTGAGTAATTGGGCAATATTATGCTGTAAACTATTAAATGATTTAATGATGAATTTGAAATGTTGTAAAGGTTAATGCGACTCAAACCTTGTCTTAAAGTTGAATTAATTCATGAGACCCAAAGTCTTGATACTTGAAATATTTAACGATTTAAATTCACTGAACTATGAGAAATATGTACAACAGATTACCATAATTTAATAATTTTCAGAGCTTTTGAATGTTAGAGCATTATATTTTGGCATTCCTCCTAATTCAGTGTGAATTATGTCATCATTCTTTGTGTTGCAGTGCAAATGATGTCATCATTCTTTGTGTTGCAGTGCAAATGATGTCATCATTCTTTGTGTTGCAGTGCAAAAGATGTCATCATTCTTTGTGTAGCAGTGCAAATGATGTCATTATTCTTTGTGTTGCAGTGCAAAAGATGTCACCATTCTTTGTGTAGCAGTGCAAATGATGTCATTATTCTTTGTGTAGCAGTGCAAATGATGCCTTTAGTTTGTCTCTTTTCACAGCAAGAAATTGCACAATGTAAAAAGTATGTTAAAAAAATCAACATTATTAAAGTAGTGTGTGAATTTTCAATAATATTTTCACAGTGTAGTCACACTTAAAAACAATTGTAGCAATAAATTAAAGCATGTTGCAGAAATTGTTATCAGATACAATAGTTATCAACGTTATTTGTGGAAACAAATTTTGATAAGGATTATTTTGTGGAAGAAAAAAAAAGTGGACAACAGCAAATACAGTGAACTGTTTAATAGACACATTTTCAGTATTTTCAGTTTATAGTATGATTTGCATGTTGTAATCTTCCTGTTTTTTAAAAGAGTTGCCATAAAAAAATAACCAGGCTGTATTCATAAAATTCTGCATTATTTGGTAATATATATTGCATACATTTTTAATGAACACTAAAAACTATGACGCACTGGTCCTAAAGTGCGGAAATGAATTGAGATTTTTGCAACAGATGTATTTAATGAGTGGACTAAAAATACCTTTTTTTTTGGTATCAATGGAATGTCATTAGTCTGGCCGAGTTAACCATGGCAGAGTTAACTCTGTCTAGCTCGTTTATGTTGCTCTTAAACACAGAAAAAATATGCAAAATATCTTGCAAATGTTAATACTGTTGTCATCACCCTCTCATATAATATTCAATATACAGGGTAGATGACTTTTTATGCAAAACACTAATATGAAAACGTATATTAAGCGTTTCCATTTAATAAACAAATATTCATGCATACATACACGCAATAGCACTCAGACACATTAATTAATAATTTATATTTATGTCAATAATGGCGACATTCCGGACATTCCATAGCTCTAATAAATCATGTCCATTTGTGTACAGTAGGCTCTGCTGTTCTGTGCACGCTGTTCGCTGATAACAAACGGTCACTAACATTTGAACATTCTCATCATACTTGATATAAGTGCAATATTATTATATTATTTATCCACCAATTGTCAAGATAAGAACTTCAATGGAAAAAAATAAACAAATTTCTTAAGCTTGCTGCTAGACAAGTACTAAGGACATGTTTTTCATCTCTGATTTTCCATGCACTTTTTATTTAATTAATTTTATTTCAACAACAAAATATATTAAATTCACAAATTTTAACACTACTAAAAGTGAACCAAGCTGTAATGACCAACCAATTATTATTTATTATTTTTTGATGTAAGAAACACCAAAACAATTTCCTTCCACACAAAAATTTTATTAAAATTTTAATAGTTTCCAAATCAAATTCAGAATTACAAAAATATGGTTAATACTGAATGAATAAAAATCTCAGAAAAGCTGAATGCACTCACAATAGGTATACCATATTGATGTGATAATAACAATATACATGTATAATCATACTCTTATAATGGAAATACATGTAACTGTCTGTTGTATGGATAGAATTTGGCAGATTTGAAAATACATAAACATATTATATAGCATATGGTGTATAAAGCACACAAACTTGTTGCTAGGTAACCATCCCTGATTGGAATGAGGAACCAGCTGCATCAACCTAAAACCATAAATAATCTATGTCTAATACATAGATAAAATCCAAAATATTTGAAGATTTATGCTTATTAAGGACAAACAGGGAATTGAAATGTTTGTGTTACAACATTCATTTCACAAACATGTAAGTAATGGAAGCAAATTACCTATTCATGTAGATACAGTATTTGTTCTATTAGTAGTGTATGTACAGGGAAGTCTTTGGTCAAAATAAGTCATCAGTATACAGTAAACAAAGCATGTGTATTTTTACTATACTCTAATGGAAATGATGGCTCAAAAAAAAAACCTTACTGGTTTGTAATTTATGTGGATTGGGTCATACAGTTTAATTTTTCAAATAGTAAAATAAAATGAAATAAAGATTATTTTTGTTGTAAAACCTAAAAAATGCTATATTTGTACTTTTTTTTAGCTAGCATAAATGTGTAATTTTAGTATCACTAATTTGGCACAGTATTTTTAACTGATATACATGTATGTTTCAGTAAAAATAGAAAAAAACAAGTCATGGTTAATGGCATAGTACCAGTTACAGTTAGGGGAAATGTTATTCATGCATGTTACGGTAATAACATTTATGGACCTAAAGCATAGTTAGTAATTGAAAGTGAATAATTGACTCGTCTAGTATCAACAGAAATTAGATGTACATGTACAATGTATTAAATTACTCTTCCAAAATCAAAATATATGGTCAGAAATTAAACAGGATATGCGATTCATACATTTTTTGAATTCAAACTAAATTTCATTTGTCCAGGCTCATGTACAGTGATATACCGTACTTCCCCGAGTATAAACCCCTTCCCGAGTATAAGCCCACCCTCTGTTTTAAGACATTCAACAAGTTGAGGGCATCCCCGAGTATCGGCCAGGGGTTTTTACCGGGCGTTGACATTTATTAAAATATGCAAGTAAAAAGTGTAATTCATTGCATAATAATCGTGATTGGTATGGTAGTTTGGTTGCTGCTTTTACAAGAGAACTCACATTAATTTCAGAGTGTATGGCCGGCGAACGTACGGAACATGGTTCGCACCTTTTCTATTCTGTTATTTACTCACGATGAATCCCGATGTTGCAATACTGAAGTAATCCATATTACTTTTGAGTAGTTTTAGAAACGCCAAATATGTGTCATCAAGTCCTGAAACCTGGTCATTGAACATTTTTACTTTTCCGAATAATCATGTCCATTGAGACCTTTGTGAATGAGATGTGAACGAGCAAACTATTCTTCGACATGACTTGTTGGCAACCGTGAAACGTTTAAATACTTCCTCCACCCTCAGTTTACTTTACGAAAATTGCAAATGAACAGCTTTAGGGGAAAAAAAATCACTGTTTTTTGTCGAAATCAGATCGCATTTTAACACCGCGGTAATTCACTTCCGCATTGCGTTGAAAGAAATACTTCGCCAATAATTGGAAAACTTCGTCTGTGCGACACAGCATTTTGATTGGTTAACGAAAGACGTGACCTGTGGTGGAAATCAAAAAGACGTAATATTTCTCCGAGACCGGCGTTGTGAACGAAAAATGTAGTTTGAATGATATTTCGAGGCTGCGAAGAGGGTTACAATTTTAAAACCCCAAAAAATTATCTTTTCTGAGGTGGTCATCGAGTATAAGCCCACCCCCCCAATTTTCCCGATTTTACCTGTTCAGGCCCCTGGGCTAATACTCGGGGAAGTATGATAATAGTATGGTCAAAAAGTAAGATTGTAGGCAGTCAACCATCTTTGACACCAATTGTAAAACTAAATATTGTGGACATGTATCCTAACATGTATAATTTGAAGAGAAAAGAAACATATCAACAATACATATGTATAATGTTTCGTTATGTACTAAATTGTATGTACAACTAACAAAGCATGCATAAGATACCACATTATCAAAAAACAAAATGGCTGTTAGTCAGCCATCTTGAATTGAACCAGTAAACCACTGCATGTTCATATGTCCCATATAAAGTACTAGCACATGC